TCGCCCACGTACCGATGCGGGCGATAGGCCTTCGTCCTCGGACGCTGTCCCGCCGACCCCTTGATTTCCTCACCCTCGAGCAGATCCGTACCCCCGTCACCTTGCCTCTTATACACATCTAGATGTGTATAAGAGACAGCCCTCTGCTCGCGGAGGGTGGGGGTCGGGCGTTCTCGGAACGCCGGCCCCCCCCCCGCTCAACGATGGCAGGGCATCTGGGGTTCGGGGGTTCTGAAAACGCCCAACCCCCGCCCTCTTAGCACCACGGGGGTCCGGCGTTCTGAAAGTGCCCGACCCCCGCTCAACGACGGCAGAGCATCCATGGGTCCGGCGTTCTGAAAATGCCTGACCCCCGCGGGGGCCCGGCGTTCTGAAAATGCCCGACCCCCGCTTAACGACGACAGGGCATCCGTGGGTCCGGCGTTCTGAAAACGCCCGACCCCCGCCCTCTTAGCACCGCGGGGGTCCGACGTTCTGAAAACGCCCTACCTCCGCCCTCTTAGCACTGCAGGGGTCCGGCGTCCCGAGAACGCCTGACCCCCGACCTTCGTTTTCCGATAGGGGGATAGGGGTTTCCCAGAACGCCGGACCCCCCTTTCAGATGCGAGGGCCTCGTGTTGCGCGGTCCATGAACGCCCGACCCCCTTTCGGAAACAACGGTCGGGGGTCGGGCGTTCTGGGAACGCCGGACCCCTTCCGGAAACGACGGTCGGCGGTCGGGTGTTCTAGGAACGCCGGACCCCCCTTCCCGAGACGTCGAGGGTCGGGAATTCTAGGAACGTCGGATCCCCTTTCGGAAACGAGGGTCGGGGTGTCCGTCATTGGAGGGAAAGTCGGAAGCCTTTTGGGAAACGACGGTCGGGGTTCGGGCGTTCTCGGAACGCCGAACCCCGTTTCGGATACCTCGGGGCTCGGGCGTTCTGGGAACGCTGGGCCCCCTTTCAGACACATGAGAAGGATGTCAGGCGTCTAGGGAACGTCGGGCCCCTTTTGTGAAATGACGGACGGGGGTCGGGCGTCTAGGGAGTGTCGGACCCCCTTTCGGATACGTCTGGGGTCGGGCGTTCTGGGAACGCCGGACCCACTTTCGGATACGTCGGGGGTCGGGCCTTCTGGGAACGCCGGACCCCCTTTCAGAAATGAGGGTTGGGGTGTCTGTCGTCTAGGGAACGCCGGACACCTTTTGTGAAACGACGGTCGGGGGTCGGACGTTCTGGGTACGCCAGACCTCCTTCCAGAAACGACGGTGGGGAGTCGAGGGTCTGGGAATCGGCCGTTTTTTATATGCCGCGCGGAGGGTGGGAGTTCGGGCGTTTCCAGAACGTCCGACCCCCGCGGTTGTGGAGATGGGGGTCTGTCGTTTGGAGAAGGGCGGATACGCGATTTTTATCGACGCGAGGGGGGGCCGTCGACTCCTCGCACGAATTGCTTTTGTTTGTTCCTCATGTTTTCTTTGCTTGTGTATTTCCTTTGTTTGTGCCCTCTAGGTCAACCTGCTGCTTCGACCTCTCGGGCATATGGAAGGTCAAAGATCTACAACAACAAACCATGGGCTCTGGACTGGGTTAGTGGTCTGCATAAGCCTGGGTGTGGGGCCGTTGTCTTTTTGAGCGACGACAATGGTGCGACGTGGTACTGTTGTGGGGCTGTTGAGAAATCTGAGAGCGCCAGGAACACCTACAACGGGAGGTCGTTCAGGACCTTCTTTCTTACGTCAGTTTTCGACAAGGACGGGAAAAATTGGGTCAAGGAAGACAAGAAGGTCGGCCTTGACTTGCGGCTCTTTCAAGGCTACGGCGTGAAGGCTTTCTCCATGAAAGCGTTTGACGCGCGCGGGGACGACGCCGAGCTTCACATGCTCACTGCGGAACAATTCCTCAGTAGAACGAACGGCTGCCACGTCACTGGCTGCCTTCCTGTCGTCGACAGTTCCTTGGAGCTCACCAAGCCGTTGGTGAAATTCAGCAGCCCGACGGACCAACTTCCAGGTGTTGTTAAGGAGTACAGGGAAACCTTCTTGAGGCTGCCTCTGGACCAGCAAGCTGACTGCGCTTTCGTGCCCTTTGTCATGAGCTCGAGGAAATCGCGACATACGCCATCCGCACCGGTTGCGAAGAGGAAACAGTTGGCTGCTTGTCCAGCTCCGCCTTTGCCAGGCGCGTCGCCCTCGCCCTTGCCCGCGGGGAGGTCACGATCTCACTCAATGTTCTAGCGAGGCTACAGAGTACGATGACAGACTTCTGTACGGACGCAATGCTGCGCGCGACAGTGTCCAGGAAGGTGCGTCTGCCCTGATTGAGCAAAACGAGGATGAAGAAGATGGGGGAAGCTGCGGTTCACGTGAAGACGGCGGTGATGACGAGTACATGGACGTTGGGGATGAGAACATGCAGGACCAGAACATGCTTGGCGATGACGACGTCGGTATCACGTCGGAGCATGGCCCTGGCGACATCCCCGCCGGTTTTGTGGGGCCGGCTGTTGGTCGGCACTTGTCGTCCCCTGCGATATGCCATTCGCAAGGCGGGAGTCAGGGTGGGCATGACTCGCAGGAGCACGGAGGATCGAAGTCGAGGAAAAGGACAAGAGAAACTTCTCCTTCTGCTTCCGCTCACAAGAGACAATCAAGGACTGACGCTGTAAATGAGGCTCGTGGAGCTCTGATAGCATCCCAGGAGGCGAGACCTCCACGGAAGAGCAGCCAGGAGGGAAGATCTGGCGGTCCTGGCAGCGGCCGTGGTGGGGCAAGAAAAGGTAAGCAGATAGTGAGGGCAGAAGAACAACGGGACTCGGGAGATGAGGGCGAGGGAGTGGGCCCTCGCATGCCCGACGATGGTGATGAACCGCTTCAGCATGCTGCACCCATCGACACGACGCGTTGTTTCTTCCTCGAGTACGACGAGCGAGGGTTTGCTAAGCAAAAAGTCCTCCCTGTTCTTGTGGACGTCATGAAAATCAAACGCATTCCCCGCGGGAATATTCTTTTCAACCATCGCTCTTTGTCTGCGAATATTGTGCGAGGCATCGAGAATGCCATCGAGAGTTCCATCACCACGGAACCGGGGGCGTGGGATAGGCCTGAGCTCGTGCTTGTGCCGGTTGACCGCAACGAAATCGTCGGCGGGTAGGGAAGGCGGATAACACTGACCGAATTCTTCGAAAGAGACTCCTCGGAGTTCGATTGGTATGCTGTCTGTGGTCAGCATACGGTCGAGGCGATGAAGACATTGGTAAAAAAGGGTTCTCCGGCAGTCGATGTCTATGTTTCAATGTCTCCACCTTCGACAACACGCGCGAAAATCGGGTCATGATGTTGTCGTTCGAGGATGTTGTCCGTGATATGAGCCAATGGTGGATCGATAACCACCGAATCGAGGCCCCAAAAGGCAAGGTCAGCGATAAGGATGCGGTCGCCGTTGCGCACCAAAAGAAGTGGCAAAATTTCTTAAGGGCCTCCATGGGGAAGGCATGCGACAAGGCGTTCGTAAAGCAAGCGCTCGAGAATGAGTACAGTAAGGATTGGAGCAATAAACTCCGTGGCTACATGATCCTCGCCACATCCACCGAGGTTGTGTGGCCACAGGTCGAGAAGTTCTTCGACATGTTCAACGAGGGGAAGCTGCCAGTTGGCGATGGTAAAATACCGCTTGACATGCTGGGTAGGATGGAGGGGCACCAGCCAGGCCTGTACACCGACGAGACGAAGGGGCAAAGGACATTATACCATTGCATTTACCCGAGAGATGGTCCAAAAGGCTCCACCGTGTCGTGGAAGGATCTTTGTCCTTCCTACTTCAAAAATTTTGGGGATTTGACGTGCCGTGAGAGGGAAGTTGCACTGCTCCTACTCATGAAAGGGAAGGTGGTCGCGACGAACGTCAAGGTCATGCCTCCGAGAGTGAATACGGAGTGCCTCCTCGACATCATGCGCAAGGAACGCTATATGGTCCGTATGTTCAACTACGTTGTTTTCCGCGCCGAGGGAAGGGCGGACGATGAATGGAATGATGCCTTCTTCATGTCATACAAGGACCTTGAAGACAGGTATGGGCCGAACGGTCTATGTGCAGCTGAATGGGAGAAGGAACGGGACAAGCTGCATATCAGCAATGTGAAGACGGTCCCTCGACGACTTGGAGGGGTGGAGGAGGCAAGGCAAGGATCAGGCTTGGGCCCTACGGCGGCAATGTATAAGGAGGCTCCGTTCCACTTTAAGGTGTTTGTATACACCTCAATCGATAAGCTCGATCTGCTTCGAGCGGAGGTCAAACGGGTCGCCTCCAGCGCACGTCATATCGTGTGGGATAAACTTAAAAAACAAACAACATTGTTGCCGGTGTGCATGMYATTGAAGGAAGTGYTGGCTGSGYCGGACGAYATCGTCGYTGCGGCGCAAAAAATGACTTSCAGGGCCGTCATCCTTGACATCTYCCCCGCTAACTTCTSCGCGACATGGACCTCTCAAGAGTTCGACGCTCTGCACTCTATGATGACTAAGTGCTGTGGCGTTAATTGGGTTCTTTTTGTCTTCGCACCGCAGAAGGTGCAAAGTGATGTTCTGCGTTGCTTATTTCGGTGGGAGGACATCGAACTCATCCTCGGGACCTGGAAACGGGTGGACAGGCCATCGAATGACATCACGAGGTATGGCAATATCGCTACGGCGAGTCGAGACATGATGGCCATTGTCCTGCACGCGGAGGGAGTGGATCTCAGAAAGGTCACGGTCGCACCCCACCTTGTTAATGACCTCACAAACGTGCATGTCGTGGAGGAGAAGTTCGGGAAGTGTCTGGGGAAACACGGTGGCATAGAGGGCGATGAAAGTGTGGTGTATTCCATCTGGGAGCGAGAGCCTGGCAAGTTGCGTTCGTTGTGCGGGTCATTCGTCGGGGAGGCGGAAGGTGTGCTTTTATTGAGTAGGGCGCACGCGGGTCTTGTGTGGGAATTCTTACTGGCAGGGAATAATGTCATTGCCTGTGACGAGTCGGCAAAGGACATTGCATACTTGACAAAGTTCATCGATATACTTGTCAAGGACGACAGATTCAACTGCCACGTCGAGAAACCGCATTGCAAACATGGCCTAAACAGGGACATGTTCCACAAGTTGGGGCCTAAGAGACTGATGGTGTGGGAGTACTTGTTCCGCGATATGCCACAAGGACGGCTTAACGGAAAATATATATACAGGAAAGCAAAGGCAACAGAGACCCTCAAACATTATCACGGTGCTCTCACTGGCGCCTTTGAGACTTTTGTTGCTCGATGCGAGATCCTCAAGTTCGATCTTCGCAAAGACAAATTGACGTCCAAGGACTAAGCGGAGTTCGCGAAATCGGGCGATGGCTTTAACCCCGTCGACAGCGAGGAAGATTCTTCGGACTCCGACCTCGAACTGGGCGAGGACACATGTGCTGAGGTTCCACGCGGTGGAATGGTGCAAGCCCACGATGACGAAACTGTCCATTCGCACGGAGGGTCCATCCCGGTGGCCGCCCCAAGCGTCGCCTCAATGGTGGCCCCGTCGGAGACTGCTGCATTGCAAGACGTTGGAAGATGCGGTGGCAATGAAGAAGACGACATTGAGATACCAGGCGAGGCGTCGACGCTCGCACCAGGCGATGCAATTCCTCCAGGCTACTGTGCTGATTCAGACGCGATATATTTTCTGGAGGGCAAACACACCCACACAGGCGAGGATCGGTGGGGCCATGACATCATATGGCATGAGAGCGTTTTACAGCCGTGCATCCAAGATGGGGAGTGGAAGATGGCGGTGAAATACACAAGCGGTTGGAAGACTTTTCGCCGGATGTCAAAGGACATCTAGTTGAAAACGACGGAACTCGCGATCCTGCATCGCGTGCGCGTCGAGAATCCAGGGCAGAGCGAGGCCGCCATCAAAGCCAAGGCCGAAGAATTGTTTCATGTCTTGCGCGACAATCGGCAATTGGAGTACAGCAACAAATTTTATGCCCTGCGCTCGAGTCCCTCATGCGGGTCAATCAACTGGAAGGTTGATCAAACCGCCAGAACCTTGGAGGGGATCTGCTCTCATGATTTCATGCCTTCGGCTGAGCCGGCCTCTGTGGCTGCGCAAGCAGGGCACAGGGGAGATGACGGGACTACTGCTGTCGGGCCTCAAGAGGTTGACATCACGTCTAAGCTGCAAATATCGAAAAAATCCATCTCAGTCGCCGCGGCACAATCGTCCCCACCCATCGATGTGTCAATGACGTTGCCGCTGGATGCAGGTGCCACGTACGGGAGTTTATTGATAACAAATGCTGCAATGCAAGGCAGATCCGAGATCGAGTCAGAGTCTGATGTTGGTCCGAGCGTAGCGGAGAGTCAGTTGCAACCGTCTTTATGCACTGGCAAAGGTGATGCACAATCATCGCTGACACCACAGGGAGGGGCCGGTTGGGATGGCGGGAAGGGAGGGGATGTGGAGGGAATGCACCGTTCCCGCAACCTCAACACCTTAACCGCTGATATTGATTAAAAGGGTGAGGGTGGGTGAGGCGGGAGGGGTGCAATTGGAGGGGGAGAATCCAATGATATGATTACAACTTCACCTTTGCCTTGTTGAACGAAATTGTGTAATTGACTTGGTTCGTTGTTTTGTTTAAAACAGAATTCGTATTAGTCTCCGTAGGCACCACTTCTACGTCGTTTTTCCATTTATGTATTTTTTTTTTTTCATCTCAAATTTTTAATAGACCTGAGATGTTTAGATTGACTGTCCGTCTCGACATGCAGTAACAAATCGTGGTGGGAGCGTATGTGTGGTATTGTACATCTCTCTCTCTCTCTCTCTCTCTCTCTCTCTCTCCCTCTCTCTCTCTCTCTCTCTTTGCGACATGGACGTGTGTGTGCGGACGTACTATATAAAGGTGGTCGATCAATGCAAGGAATGAAAGGCCGAAAGATGTGAATGACGTTCATACAAGTAAAACATTAGAGAAATAATGAAAACATGCCTTGTATGCATCAGCTCTCACAAAGCGTTTGGCCATGCACTCACAATACTTGCCCCGTCCGCCCGCGTGAATGTCCTCTTCCTCATCGTYTGTGGTGTGCAGTACAAATGACAACAACGGATACAAGATTGTGCAAAAGAGGATGGACAATGCATCTCGCAACTTTGTCTTTATCGGAGAGGGAGATGGCAGCACTAGCGCATATCATTCGCGAATACGGGAATAGGTATCCTGTTGCCAGCACACAAGATGCGCACAATAACGAAGTGTTGCAACTCACTCGCAACGATTTCCTTTTACTCACCGTCGAACAACAGTGGTTAAACGACAACGTGATCAACTTTTATCTCAACCTCGTAGCATTAGACAACTGCTGTAGAATACAGCACGTAGAATGAGACACGGATAATGAGATAGTCATTAGAGAAGGAAACGGTCGCATTCCCTGAGTATCAGTGCTGAGCTTGTTTTTTTTGGTCAAACTTTTTTATAATGACATGAGATATAGAGGCCGAAAGGTAGAACGCTGGTACCAGGATGTAATTATAAGTGACATGGATTTGATTATTGCTCCTTTCCATATCGCACACCAGGACCACTCGACCTTGGTCGTGGCTGATTTGAGAAGGAGGAAATTTGAATTCTATGACCCCCTCGACCCCGACAAGGAGTTCGCGTTAAAAGTGACCGGCGGGTTCGCAAAGTTTTTATTCGAAAGATCGAAATCGCAAGGCAAAGAGGTGGATACGAGACCATTCAATCACATATGGAATGTAGAGGGCATTTCAAAGCAACATGACACGAACGAATGTGGGGTCTTTGTACTCACGTACACGTCGGTTTTGGCATGGGGCCAACTTCCGCCTTTCTGTTTCACCGCAGACGACATACCCGCGATACGTCGTCGGATGGCATTGGACACAGTGGCTCGTAAGTAGTGTGTACGTGATATTATATAGTATGATTGCGAAGGGGGCGGGCGTGGTTGGCATGAGATGGCGCTTGACAAAAAACAATGTATATAAGGTGTTAATTATTCCTCGGTGCACTGTGTCACTTGCCCCTTGCATGGTACCTTACACCTTACACCTTACCCCATACACCTTACAACTTACCCCTTACACCTTACCCCTTACACCTTACCCCTTACACCTTACCCCTTATACCTTACCCCTTATACCTTACCCCTTATACCTTACCCCTTGCCCCTCACACCAAAACGCCCATTTGTAATGGTTTTTACACTTCAATCATCTCAAAAATAACAATTTCAATTTCGTTCAAAAAATATAAAATGTCCGTTTTGACGAAATCGTTGTTCTACTAATTTTGCTCCTCTCACGTCCTCAGCTTTCTTTGCCACCCTCCCCGATAAATTTTGTTATTTTTGCACGTGCATTGCACGGGTCTATGGGGTCGACTGTCATACTTTCGAAACCGGGTTTGTCGATTGGGTAGAATGTGCCACGTGTGTCAATCGTGCGCACGGGGCCTGCGTTCAATATCGGACGAGTAGCAAGGAATGGAGGTGTCCTCTCTGTAGAACGAACAAACTCCCCACGGAGGTTTGATTCGAGGCCGCCCGTACGGACGGCCCGGAATACGACGAAAAATACCGACGAGCGGAGGTTTGGACGGATAAAATTTTACTGGCGAAATTAGCGGGATTATCATTGGGTCACCTCACCAAACACGACAGACGTAGGGCAACCGAGAGATCTCGGGACTACCGTTGGATCAACGGTCATTTGAAAAAGCGTAAAACTGACGGATCGGGTGCGTGGTTGACGGTTCCCCATCCATTCCAAAGATACGATTGGATCCGATCTGCTGACGAAGAACAGGCCGCTCATTTCACGCGTCCGCGGCCCGAGATCGTATATCAGATCGTCGGGATCCACCGGGCCACCCCCCACGAGTCCACGGGGTTTACCCCTTTCCAGCTTCGAACTAATAGCCTCCCCTGTGCCAACTACCGGGGTAGCTCGGAAATTGCCGAAGCAGGGGGCAGAGACACGCATGCAGCCCTCAAGGCCAAGGCCAAAAGGTATCCTAAATTAATGGAACGGGCCGTCCCGAAGCTAGCCCGAAAAAGGCAAAGGATGACCGAACTGGCCCACGGTAGACAGGTCCGTAGTTACGAGGCTCGAAACGGAAATGCTGGGCCCTAGCATCAATATAAATTAGGGGCCTAGTGCAGGTACGTAAATGTGCACGCGACCGTAAACTCGCTCCCAAGTTCTCTGGCTGTTATCACATTGTCGAGCTTGGTCCTAACGGCGCCAACACAGTGCGCATCACACCTGAGGCTAGCACCAGCCATAGCTCTGTCCCCATCGTTCGGCATACCTCCTACCTCTGTCTCCTTCCTCCTTCCGATCTTCCTCCCTCTTCTTCCTCGGAAAGCGAGGAGAACGACGATGATCTAACTCTCTCTCCGCTCTCTCCCTCTTGTCCTTCGACATCCTCCCCCACCTCGCCATGAGTTTCATCATGGAGTGGGTTCTTGACGCACAGCTGTTGCAGCCACGTGGCCACACCTCTGAGATTCGGCAAGTTTGTCACCCTCGGCTCAATACAGATCTTCGGCGTTTGATGCGATTCTTTTGCGACGAGGGTATCTGTGCCGCCGCCGCGTTTCGAATCGAAGGAAGTCCTCACGCAGAAGTATTCGTGGAGGTAACCGCAGTTCATCGGCGAGCGGCTCCCAGAATGAGCCACCTCACAACGGTTGTGGCGTTCAGCTGCGACATCAGCTCGGTCAATCCGCAGTGGCATATCACGATCTTGACCTCGCTGCGCGACTGGACGGAGCAAGTGTCCAATGTGTGGCAGCACGTCCTCGCCCGACCTGGGTATAACCTCATCCCGATCTTTGCACAGGATCTTGGCGATATTCGCCGATCACCGCGCGAGCGGCCAGTTGCGATCCCAACCCTCGTCCCCTTCCCACATCCCCAATGAACTACGCCGATCTTCTCGCTCCTCTCTCTATCTTTGGTCTCCCCTCTCTCTTCCCCACCTTCTGGCGATCCGATCTTCATCCTTCTCTTTCCTTCTCGTTCGAGCCTCTTTCAGTCCCTCTTATCAATCCTGGACATTGGCGGTTGTGGCGCGAAACTTTTGAGGAGCTGTCTTTCTGCTTGGCCAGAATACAGGTGACGTGGACGCAGACCAGCGGGCATCTTGCGTGGATCGAAAATCCGGAGCTGCTAATCATCCAAGCTTGGAGAACTAACGTGGAGGGCGATCTTCTTGGCTTTCTCTTTGGATCGGTACAGCCGGGGCGTCGCCAGCTGATTGCGCAGGAGCTCATCGCACCGATCGTGCAATTGGCGGACGATCTCTCGCCCGACATCTATTCACAGAGTGACGACAGTCCTGCTCCGTACATTTTCGAGCGATCATTGGATCCGTACCTTCAGTGGACTGCGTGCTTGGAGGAACCCAGGGACGAGGATACGCTACCAGCACGGCAGGAGTATCTCAAGCCGTACGATATCATCCCTCACGCCTTGAATCCAAGGGCGAAGGAAGTGGTGATAGACGACGACGAAGAAGACGAGGACGAGGAAACATCGGAGGAGGGAAGCTATAGCGAGTATAGCGAGGGCGAGCCGAGTGAAGAAGAAGAAGAGGAAGGAGAAGAAGGAATCGAGTCCGAGTGGGAAGCTTTGCCGGAGGAGGCGGTGCGCACGGGAACAGAGGCGGAAGATCCGGAGGCGGCGCGGAGGCGCGAAGAAATTTTCACCGGAAAGCGACAGCTGGAGTTCGCCATCGGAGCCAGTCTGCGCATCAGCAACGACCCGACTAGGGACCCGGAGCCGCCAAAGCCCGAAGATGGCGACCCTACAGCCGCCACCTCAAGTACCGCGCGACGGAGACGGAGCCGATCCTCCTCCTCCTCCAGCCCCACCAGTCCCCAGTTCGCCCACGTACCGATGCGGGCGATAGGCCTTCATCCTCGGACGCTGTCCCGCCGACCCCTTGATTTCCTCACCCTCGAGCAGATCCGTACCCCCGTCACCTTCCCTTCCCATCCCTTCCTTCCCCATCTCTTTCACGACTTCTACTCTACCCGCCTACTCGCTACCGTCCACCCCCACGCCTCCCTTCAATCCGCTGCCCCCACGTTCTGCTGGCATCTCCTACTGTTCAGCGCTGCATGGGAGCGATGCAACGTGGTAGAGGTTTATTGCGTTTCCACGGGGACAATCCCCGCCTACCGCCACTATGAGTTCTTTCGGGCGGAACTTTTCCTCACCCTCTCCTCCTTCTATCGTGACTACCTTGCTTCCCTCCCTCGCAGCGGCGATCACTTCCCCCACTTCCACCGGATCATCCGATATGAGGAGCTTCCGGTGACGATGGAAGGAATTAATCGCTTCCTACCCCCACTCCCTCCCCGTCGACCTCGTGAAATCCCCTCCATGTACCGCCTCTATTGGCCCATTCCAACTAGGAGGTAGATCCAAGTCGCCTCACTACCCCCCCCCCCCTCTCTCCCTCTCCCCTCTTCATCCAATTAGCGGGGGAAAACGACACGAATCAGTAAGCATTCGCAAAGATCACGCCATCGACGATGACGTCAACTTACATTCTGATTCGACGGGCAGCAACCAGCTCGGGTGCAGAGCACACGGAGAACCAGCGAACGATGATGGCGTCACCTGGATGACCATCGAGGAATCCAGCAATAGACAGAAGATTGCAATTGAAGTTGGACTCTGGCTGGATCGTTTGTTGATACGCTTGGTTCCTCATGCATCACTGTGTTCTCTCCCTCTCTCTCTCCTTCTCCGCCAGGACATGCAATCAGGAGATCGCATAATTTTGGAACCCCCTGCGCCTCACATATGTGACGAACCACGTCCCGAACCCGTGCTATCTTTCGAACCCTTATTTTGCTTGTACCATACCGACCCCATAAAAGCCCCGTTTCGTTTTCTTGATTTCGGATGCCGCATTTTTGGCCCCCATCTTTCGGAAGCCTTTTTCGATTCCCGGGTTCTGCTTTTCCTTTTTCTTGCAATTCGGGAAATTCATAGGAAATTGCGTGCGCCTTAGCGAGCGCACTGGGAATTGGGTCCGACAGTTGGGAATTCCGGGATAAGCGGAACTTCGACGCCTCCTTTTTGTGTGTGAATGTTCTCGGTCGCGTTTGAGAAAACTCTCGGAATTTTGCACGAATACGAATAGGCGTAGGATCCTCTTTTTCCGCGTCACTTTTTTGCGCGCGGATATGGTGATTTCAATTTTTGAATTAGGACAGAGGCAAGCTGTAACTGTTCCGGTGCCTTTTTCTTTCTTTTTGTTGACGGCGCCGCGTATGCAAAAGCTTTCTCCTCTCTGACCCGCGCATCGCTCCCTCCCCGTTCTCCCTCCTCTTTCTCTCTCCTTGTAACTGTTTTTCCCTCTCTCTCTCTCTTCCCCGCTTCGCTTTTTGTGCACCCAATTCCCTTTCTTGATCATCTGAATCTTGGACCCGTCTTGCGCTACTTCTTGCGTCTTTTCTCCCCTCACCCTCTGAGTCCAACACTTGACGCCCGGTTGATCCGTTGATAACTCCTGCTCGCCAATCAGGTACGCCGATCAATAGGACTTTCCTATTGCGCGACAAATCTGATTGGTTGGACCTTGAGTTCCGAGGGATCAACATGGCATTCACAGAGCACTCCTCTCAAAGTCTTCTCTTCCTGCTTCCCCTCTTACACCCCAGCTTTCCCGTTGCCTTTCCCTCTTCTATCTCCCTTGTCGCAACTATAAAACCCGCAAGCGTGTCCGCAAAGCTCTCTTACGTTCTCGACTCCTGAGCCAGCTTCCGGGAAGCAGTGGCTAGGCAGAGTGTTTTGATGCGAGTTGAAAAGTCTTGTCGGGCTGACGATAGGCTGGCCGGTTGCGCGCTTGATCGCCACGACGGACTGTGGGATCTGGGCGAGCCTTGTCGAGTCTACGACAGAGAGGTGACGATCGCGGTGGTGGAAGTTAGCACGCGACGGTCGGGATCGTCGGTGCGGATATGAGGATCGATGATTGGAGTGGAGTGAGTGATTGGCCTGGGGCCATATTGGAATTAACGGCGAATGCACCTTTGTTGTTGCGGACCCTTATCTCTGGAGTGAGTGCACTGCGGCAACGCCGAACTTCCATCTTTTGGATTGTGCCATCTTCTATCTCGACTCTCTTCCCTCACCTTCCCCTCTCTCCTCTATCCTTGAATAATGATGTGTCTCGATGTCTGTCTCTCCTTTGAATGAATCTGTGTGCTCTTCAGCATGAAAGAACTTCTTCTGGAACTCTTCCATTAGTTTCCTGGGTAATCCCCAGATGACGAGGAATTGATCCTTTTGTCTTGTGAACGGTGGATGCGTGCGTACTGTTCAAGCAACCCGTTTTTTCCTATGCATGTCTCATTTTCGCACCTTCCACAATGAATGTATGTATGGAAATGAGTGACTTTCTTTTGCGTTGATTAAACGATGGTCGTCGGCATTTTGTCCGAGAATGCAAGAGTGTTTAGATTTGTAGTTTTGAATGCACTGTGCATGCCATCTGCCTTATGCTGCAAGACATCTGCCACCGATCAACGGGGCGGCCTGGAGAAACAAGGCGTCTGGGATCAACGTCGCATTGGCTCACTAAACCTGAGCTGCGGATCGGTCTCTCGGTTATATGCATGATTAAGCCGATGTCGAAAGGGATTGATTGTAAGTTGCGCGAGTGTTTTCTTTTCTGTTGATGAGGATGTCTCGAGGTTTTTGCAATTGATTGACATGTGGACTGACAAACACCCTTCGATCGGGCGCCAGCCTCCTGCACCTCCCGCCTCAACATGGTCTTTTCACTACAACGAGGAAAGGACACGTGTATGCGAGTGGGACGTACGAGAAGTTGTCGCACAGATCGGCGGGTGATACTACTTCCCTCCGGCAAACCGCTGTTCAGGGTTCGTAGAGGCTGAATTCGTCATTATCGATACGCACTTCCCACCTTACTCGATATTGTTGCCATCGTCATCCCGTGGACGACAGTAGAACCCCACTGGTCGCGCACTCTATGCACCAAATGCCAGCGTTTTGAGCGCTACAAATCCAGGGGTTTCCACTACCGTGTGCGGAGTGAAGACGAGCACAAAGAAAGAGCCAGGCGGCTGAGACCATCCACGTCAGACTCGGAACTGACCGACGAACGACGACGAGACTTGATACGAAAACAGGACACGCAAAGCGTGCCAAAGCCTTTCCGCTCTAAACGACGGGCTGTAGCCCGGTGGGAAACCCGACAATACTTTTTGGATTGAATTTGAAGTTTTCTCCTTTCGCGTAGTGCCCGCGCGCGCTTTCCACGACGCGCGAAAGCAATCGACTTGCTTCATTGGACCAACACGGGGGATTTCAGCTCCGTCTGTGTCCCAACGCTCAATTTCCAAAAATCCTTGGCACACCCCATCTTGCTGTTTTTCGGGGCCTCTTTCCGCACGCCTAACACTCCGAGCGAAAGTGAGCACAGGGCGTGAGGTTTGCACGTTACATTCGAGAGTGCTTTCTGACAGCTCCCGAAGGGCGTTTTCGAGAGCACCTATCTAGAGTGAGTGGAGCGAGGCCTTACTCTCGAAATTTCGAGAGTATAGAGTAGTGGAGCGAGGCCTTAGGGCCTCGCTCCACTCACTCTAGATAGGTGCTCTCGAAAACGCCCTTCGAGAGCTGTCAGAAAGCAGTCTCGAAAGGCACTCTCGAAGTGTCTAGAGTGCCCAGCCTGCAACGACGTGCTTTTCCAGTGTCCTCCCTCGTACCCTCGCTCCGACCATTTTGTTTTTCAGAGTGCGCCTCGTGTCCCGACCATCGGAATAGGGCGGCGCTGTCTTTTAGTGCAGTCAGAGAGCTCGTCTCATTCCGCCACTGCATCTCGAGCAAACCCATGTAGAGTAAGTGGAGCCAAGACTTTTTTTTCGAGAGTTTTGCACGTCTGACAGCTCTAGAAAGACTCACGGAACTTTTTGTGAGTCGAGAGTAGTGGAGCGAGACCCATCATCGGACTAACCAGCCCAGGTAAATTCAATATTGTGTTGTGACAAACCACTTTCTGTTCCACGCGATTTTCTGCGCGATGGCAATGAGGGGTCCTAAGATGGGAAGGTTGAGCCAATTACGGGAGATTGGGAACAAAGGGAAAATTGCATCAATGTCCTCGCTTCTTCGTCTTTTTGTGTCGCCTCTTTTCGGACGGCTGGGTTCAAGGTTGGGCAAGTCCCAGGATGATCGGTTGAGTGGCGCGCCGTCGCGCGCGCACAACTTTAATGGTTGACGTCGCTTCTTTTTGTTTTGCTGTAGGATTTTAGGCGCGGAAGTCGCGCGGAAAGTTTTGCTTCTTTTTTTATTTCTTTTTCGAATCTTGTCGAGCCCCTGATGGTTCTCGGAATTTCGGACTTTCTTCTCGGAATTTGCCTTCTATTAAAATTTATTTTTACATAAGTCTAGGAATTTAGGAATTTCGAAATTCGGGATTTCTTTCGCCGCGCGTTGTTTTTCTTGCGCGCTTCTTGTTCCGGTTGCAGCGGAGCTCTGATTAGTCGGCGCCCTTAATCTCGTGTGTAACTTTAATTTTTGGGCAGGCGCCATTGTAACTGTATCTCTCTTCTTGAGCTTCGTCTTTACCGCCCTCTCCTTCTTTTTTTTTGCTGTGGTGGTCTAGCCCGCGGCCTGCATGCTCGGGGTAGCGCGATCAGTGAGGGTCGGCTCACGAGCGAAGTAAGAGGTGAGTTGAAGTGGAAGTCGGGCGACCCGACGAGCTGGTGCCGAATGCGCGGGGTTGACGTGTGGGGCTATGACGGACTGTAGCGCGCGGGCGAACCTGACGGGTGCAGGAGGACTAAGCGGGGTGACGACTTCGTGGGTTGGTGCGTGACGACGGACTGTCCGCATCGGAGAGAGAGAGAGGAAGAGAGAGCTGAGGTTGATGGACGTGGATTTGCAATTTTCTTTGTCTTTCTCCCCAACTTCTGTATATAAATTTTGATCTCGGCTTCGGGTGATTCGTCCGTTTTTTTTTTTTTTTTTTTTTTTTGCTCTCGGCATTTTTGTCTCGACTTCGGCCTTTGTCTACCTGTAATTAGTTATAATCCTTCCCACTGAATGTTTGATTGCATGGATGTTATGATATGTTTGTCATTTTTGCCTAGTCATCATCATTGCTTGTCACTTTGATCCGTCGTTGTTATAGTATGAGTTCTGATGTTGCTATGATGTTTGATGTGAAATGACACCTTGCATGCTCGGAAATGATCGTTTGTGGGATCACTGAGTGATTGGATGATTGGGTCGTTGTCTGTGACACGAGGCGATTTTGCATGAAGAGTTAAACTCTCACCTTTTTTGGGTACAAGCGAACACCGTGACCCGCGGGGATACGTGTAAGCGCGATCTAATCTGCGCAGCCTAAACATATCCACGCGCAGCAATTTG